AACGTAAGTTGGTGGTGCTGATCCTTTCAATGAGAGTCGGATTGATATTTCAGTTGACTTCTAACTTTTGATATTCGCAGAGGAAAATCTAAACTTATTTGAAGGAGACATTGTGTTGTCTCCAGAAGACCACGTTGATCAACGYGATTCAGGAGACGTAGACGGACCACTCCCTGATTCCCAGTACAAGAGAAACGTTCGAAGGTCAAGGCTGAGGCTCTGGAAAAATAAAGTCATTCCGTATGAAATTTTGATTCGTAAGTTTTGAAGCTTTTGCTTAAAAAGCGTTTTACWTGATTTTAGTTAACCATAATATTAGCTGTACGGAAGTACCACCCATTCGATGCAAGTTTACTAGTCATTTTGATCGGCTAACAACAGGTATATCGTATTGTCAAATGAAAATAAATAATAACTCTTCTGATTTGTTCTGTAATTTCATTTCATTTATTCAGCCGCTGGGAAGCACAAGGACATCTCGTCTACTATATCTGAAGCTATTGCAGAGTTCCACAAACATACATGCCTGAAATTCGTACCTTACACCAATGAAGATAACTGGATCAAATTTGTCTACAAAGCTGGGTAGTTTTTGTTTGAACAATTATTGTGCTATAGGGCCATGGGCAACCATTACTGATTCATTTCGTTCAGATATTGAAAATGAAGTGACTTCAACAATATCCACTTGATCGAATCTTAAAAATCTCTATTCATAATAAAGCATACGGGGATAATAGCAGGGAAGTATCCAGTGGGTGGGGTTCAAAGCCAAAAAAATCTAAAAATCTATTGGTGCAGTGTGTGAGGATTTGTTTCGAGTTAACCAATTAAGAAATTCAGTTTTCTGTCTTCTCGGTGCCGTTTTTTGTTTMAGTTCACCATCTTGGGCWTCCTGAAGACGAGGTTCCATATATGGTGATACACATTTCCAAAAGCAAAACAAAAAACAAAAACCGCGAACGCTTTGACACAGAGTTCGAGCAATGTATGCTTTTCTCCTCTATAGACCACGATTCTTCTGCGCGAAAGCCATAGATTTTTATGACGTCATAGTGACAATTTGGTATGCAAGGACCCCCCTATGAAAATCCTGGATAGCCCCTGAATAGAGAGTATACTCTTGCTTCTATTAAGATAGAAATTTTACCGTATAATACTTGAAATGAAGTGTTTATCTTTGAAGTCGCATTCCTATTCCGAGGAAAATCAAATCACATTGCAAGGGATAAAAGATTCTCTGGTTCAAAATTTGATGTAATACTTTCTTTCTTCYCTCTTAGATGTTACTCGCCTATWGGTATGTGGCCATGGTTCAGTCAGAAAGGAATTGGTCAAGAAATATCGCTTGGCGAAGGCTGTAATTCTAAACCGAAGATCATGCATGAACTTCTTCATACTATTGGCTTTTGGCACGAACACTCTAGACCCGACAGAAACSAGTACATCGAAGTCATGTGGGAAAATCTTAAGCCAGGTGAGCAATGCAAATAGAGACGATTTGATGCATGATATCACTATRTCGCTGCRGTTTTTAGTCTAGGGAACAARTGGTAAAACTCTCGAATTTGGTCGTTGAGCCAATTTACACATTATGATACTGCAATGTCAGCATGATAATGAACGAGTTTTAATTTTTATTGAATTATCTTTAGTCCAAAGACCTCTCCAAAAAGGACAAAAGTATGATRCTGYCATTGCTCTTACCATTTGTATGATACTTYTACTTTCTGTTTTGAGGATTTGAGCACAATTTCAACAAATATAGTCATGGCAAATTGGATACTCTGGGCCAGATGTACGACTATAAAAGCTTAATGCACTACGGCAACAAATACTTCAGTAAAAATGGAAAACCAACCTTGCAGGCTATAGGTTCAAACAAAGGTGTACAACTTGGGAATACCAAAGGTTTTTCAGATACTGACATCTTTGAAATCAACGCTTTGTACGACTGTGAAGGTACTTTTGGCTATGTGTATGTATTATGTATGTACTGTGCAATGAATTGCTTAAGCCTACTACCAATATTATCAAATTGTAGGTTCTACGGCTGTCATTGTCTTTCATGCCACTTCTGCTATACAACAATGACATACAATTAGAGTTTATTATGTATATAGAAACTTTGCTATAGTATACTATACAAAAACTGTAGGTACTACAGCAGTCATTGTCTTTCATGCCACTTCTGCTATACAACAATGACAT